TGCCCTTAAAAACACAGAAGTTACTAGCAGGGTGTAATACTGCAAAGATAAAACATCGTAGAGTAATGCATAGCTATGTGTCCTTGTCATCTTCTGCCATTTGATTATATGGATTTGGGATGATGTAATTTGTAGCAGGCAAAGAAGTTGATCTGAAGACTAAAGGTGCTGCTTTGCTTTGCTTCTCCCCCCGCAGTGTAGCATCATTCTCATGACATTTTTGAGCCATCGCTACAATTTCGCTTCTTGGTACCTGCACATTGCTGCTTCCTGGCACCAGGGAAGGTCAGATGCCTCCCTGGCCATCGTTCTTGAACGTTCTTTATTTTTGCTTTGAAATTGGGATTGTTGCCACCGTGTTTGCAGCATTCTTTCTAAATGTCTGTACACTAGGGAGAAGTGGCACTGCCCCGATTTTGATTACATGCAGACAGAAAGATTTTTTAGGGCAAACACTTTGTGAACATGCCTAATATAACAACAGGTAACAGGTAACGAGTACCATGAAAACTTCTGCTTTCAGCAAAATTCATGCTGAATCTTGGCCTGGATCTAAGAGAAGGGATGGTCAAGCTCCCAACAATAATTTATTTAATGACCTTTAAGCTATCTTTCTGCATAAACCATTACCAAAATACCTTTTTTTGTTGTTGTTGTTATCTTTTTTTAATCTTATTTCAGCAGCTGAACAGAAAAAGGCTCAAAGTCAGAATTGTTGTACTGTTTTTTGGTACCAAAAAGTTAGTGGCTCTTGAACGTTCATCAGATGCTGTAAGACACTGAGCTGGTTCTCTGTATTACAGAGTTCCCTGGCTACTTTTTGCACCTACTGAGAGCTAAAGACACAGTTTGGCAAACTACATTACAATGTTAATGCAATATTAATGATGTCTGATGTCAACGTTAATACAGAAAATGGAGTGAAGTAAAAATAACTAAACCTATTCTGAGTATTTATGGCAACTCTGATCAACCCTGTGGACTGAGTTCCATCTTAAAAAAAAATGCAGTGACAACTCCAGTCTTTGGGACTGGAAAGGAAATGTTGAAATACTGCCTTACATATGCCTTTTTCACAAATAAAGATAACACTTTATCTGGAGTGTTATCTTCCTGTGCTTCTAGGAGAAGATCTGTTTTTTTCATCTATGTTCAATTAATGAACTGACTAATAAGCCCTAACATACTGAAGGGGTAAATAGTGGGCTTGTGCATGCTGTTGTACATCTGTGACTGCACTGATGTTCTCACTACATGAGAATGAAAGCAAAACCTGCACTGTAAACTTTCCTTAATTCGTATTTTTATGATCGTGTTGATCTGCTGTAAAGTAGAAGAACCTCGAGTCTTTTCCAAGAGAATTTATAGATTATTATAATCTTACAGGTTTTGAATGCTCTGGATGAATTGGGTGATTTTCTACAGCTGAAGTATTCCCGGTATTCCAAGTCAGCCCATCCTGAACTATATGAAGAAACTAGGTTTGAACTTGAAGATTAAGTGTTCCACGCATGAAGAGAACATTGCGATGCTATGAAAGGGGAAAAACCCAAAACTAAGAAATATGAATGCATTTCTTCCCTTCTAAGGACAATTTTTGGTTAAGTTAATTGAAAGGAGGGGAAGCTTGGTCGTTGCGTTTTATTGTATCAAATTCCTGTATTCAACAGACTGAAATATTGATACAGATTTGCCTCCCCAGGAGATCGATCCTTCTTGTGGTATTTTTAATGCAGAAAGAAAGCATCTCGTTGGAGGAGTTGCTAACGTACAGCTTATGTTACAGCCCCTTTTTATGAAGAGGCTTCAGATAAAAATAAAATAAAAAAGTTTAAAAGCTGAATGGATTCCAATGCAGTATGCTAGTATGCCTGAGCTTCATCAGTTAAATTGATTTTGGTCTGTTGAAGAGCATAAACCAAGACATCGGTGTGGATTGCTACAGAGGAAAGAGCAGAAAGTGACCTCTTTAATTGCCCTATCATGCATTTCTCCAAGGAGAAGTTAGAAGAAAGCTAATGCTGCAAACAAGGAAAGTAGTAGCCTCCTCAGGTCAAATATTTCTGACAGCAGATTGTGCAGAAGGGAAAATACTTCCCCTCCTCTACAGACCCTTTCTCAGCCACTTGAATGCACAGTAAGCTTCATAAAGTACACAAATTTGAGCTTAGAAATAGATGGAAATGCTTTTCTGCTAATGCATTTGACCTACAGCTTTCCACAGCTTATCACAAGTTCTTCAGCAGGCTTGCTCCCTTTTCATGTAGCAGTAGTAAATAATTTTAATAACCATTTAACTTTCCCGTAAAAACCTTGATCAAAACAGTCAGATACTTGCAGTTCACAAACTGCAGATGACATTTATGGGCCCATTCCTAAGTTTCTTGAACTACTTATGGGCTTAATAAATTCACTAACAAGTACATAATGCTGAAGCTGTTAGTTATACAGAATGTAAAGTTTGAGATGCCATAAGCATTGCTGCCACCTGTTAAATAGAAAACTCTGCCATCTCAACATTAAGGTTGTCCATTTCATAATCTTCCTTGAAATATTCTTGCCAGCTTTGTGCATGTCAGGGATTGTTTTCTACTTATGGGCTTAATAAATTCACTAACAAGTACATAATGCTGAAGCTGTTAGTTATACAGAATGTAAAGTTTGAGATGCCATAAGCATTGCTGCCACCTGTTAAATAGAAAACTCTGCCATCTCAACATTAAGGTTGTCCATTTCATAATCTTCCTTGAAATATTCTTGCCAGCTTTGTGCATGTCAGGGATTGTGCATGTCAGGGACCCATGTCCTTGCAGATTTTCTTGAAGTCGCTTGTTTTTCAAATAATTGGTGGTGTCAGCTGAGGGGAAAGATGTCCTTTCCCCCCTTTTCACTGCTCAAATGACAAATGCACAAAGGCACTTGAAGGAAATGCTGCAGCCTGCTCTGCCCGGCAAAGCCTGCAGTGACATTAGCATGAGGCTGGCGTGTGCTGAGCTTTTTAGGAGGAGGCTGGAGGGCTTTTCCCCTTTTTGGCAGTATGAAAAGTGGCTCTGTAGCTTTAAGAATGAACTCCAAGCCGTTCCACGCTATCAAATGTCATTGTAAACACATCACATGAGAGATGTTTAGCTTTCTGTTGCACAGATGTACCACACTTTCATGTTCTCTTGAAAGCTGTGGTGTAAACTTAACCCACAGCTGCAATATTAGATTTAAGAACAGAACAATTAAATTGTGGCGTACCAATTACACTATATTACTCCCTGCTTGTTAAAGCAGCCTTCAGGATATAACGAGGCTGATTGGTTGTGAGGGCCCATTTTTTGTTGGATTTTGGTTGTTGTTGTTGTTCAAGTTAATAAAAAAATCCAGTGGTGCTCTAACTTTAAGAATTGATTACTGCACATTCCATAATATCAGATGTCGGCTTCAGGAAAAGTAGCACGAGCTGGGGAGCTGGGGGAGGACTAAATGGTGTCATACGATTCTTCACTTCGGTAGATGGACTTGAAAAACATTGCAGAGGTTCAAGGGAGCCGTGTTGGTGTATAAGAGCAAACTCACTATATAAATAGTAAAATACTATTCTCGAGTGAGGGGAGGGGAGAAATTAGGACATGGGAACTCTTTCTTTGCGTTACCTGGCATTTTGTGATGTACAGCTTTGCTGCGTGCAGGCTGAGCGCGCTTTCTGCCGAGGAGACGGGCTGAGAAATTTCTACAACCTGTTCCTCCAGGAAAAGCACTGCATTTGATGTATGGCGTTTTGATCTCTATTGCTGAACATCTGTGGCCAGATCCTCAGCTGACTTCTGACCTTCTATCTCGGTGTATACGGCCACAGTTTCTGTTTCAGCAAACATTACTACACGTGCTGTTGCAGGCAACACGCTATTTCCCTCAAAGAGAGGCCTGAGATTGATTAAGCTGCAGAACGATCACTTTTTTGTCCCCCTACAGGGGAATGTTTTCTGTCTGTTTAAAGCCAAATTCCGCCTGCCCTCAGAACATTACTCTCTCTCATATTAAGGAGAGAGGACAGCTTTTTCTTAGAGACTGTCAGTTGATTTATTATATGCTTTCTTCTGATTTCTTCCATCCCTTACACATTAGAGAGACTATAGACTGACTAGCTATGGGCTTAGGAACATTTGAGGAGAAATCCCTGCTCCAGTGATGCAATAGCAAAACTCCCAGGAATTACAGACTCCTAGATTTTCCCCATGGAGTTTAGTTATGCTCTGGCACTGGCTTTTCCTCCAGTGTAATTTCAGTGGAGTTCTTCCAGCTTTTTATCAATGTAAGTATGTTTAGAGCTGGCTGGCTCTTGGAGACTTCATTTTAGGAGGCTTGGGAAAAAGAAAAGCCGATGGAGTTCCTATTAGGGAATTATCATAGTTAACCCAATTATTGAGTATTTCATAGACTAGGCTCCATCCTCAAGCATTCTTTGGAGATATAGTCCTCTGTAATTGTTCTAGGTGTTTTTGAAGAGGAACTGCCTTCCATAAGCAAAAATTGCTTGTAACAGTGGAAATGTAAGTCTGGGTGCACTGAGTTTCTGTGGGCAAGCTGTAACTCCAGCACCCTGCTGTCTCACAGCAATCTTGATTGACCTTTGTGCCCTGGGAAGACTCCAGAGGTCTGTTTGACAGAGCACCTGAATTGTTTGCCTTTTCCTGTGCCTTTATCCCACCTCATCTTTTAGAGAGCCTTTATTTCCTGAGCTTATCTTGCTTGTCAAGGTGTTTCCCCCATCTGCTTCTGCTGCCTTTTTGCACCATTCCTTCTGTTCTGTTAGTTTCTGTCCTCCGGGTCTAAGGGTAGGCTCGCTGGCAGCTGCAGTCTTTGAGGACCCAAAGCGTGAGTAACATTTGGCTTTCAAGGCATTGACTCAGTGTGCCTGCTTTTCTTTTCCTGGTATCCTTATCAGCTTCTGCAGAATTTAATCTTTCCTTTTCAAATAAAAGTTTCTTACTGATGGTGCTAAGCTTCTAGGCTGAACTGCATCTGAACTGCTCACACTGTTGATCCAAGAGCAGATTTGATCCATCACTCATACAAGTGTAGATCAAGTTAAATCTTGCTTTGAAGTCAATACCATTGTTTTAAAACCGGTGCAACTATGAGAAGAACCTGACAGAATTTGAGGTGAGCTGCCTCCACCTATTTCAGAGTGAACACTGATATGTCTGGACTATTTCACAGCTGCTGCCCTTCATGGGAGGACCAAGATACGGGAGTGGATTTAAAGATTAAGTTAGGGTTTTAATTTTCTACAACTCCCACACAACCCAATTTTGTTTGGTGGAAGGTGTGTCATGTATTTCACAGTCGGGCCAAAACAAGGGAAAAACAGTCTATGCTTTGTTGGTCTGTTGAAGTAATTTCGCACTTTCTAGCCTGCTTAGAAATCCAATAGAGATTCTCTAGTATATGATCTGATTTTTTGTTGTTGTTGTTGAAATTTAGTAGTTCTTCAAATATAAACACAGATTGGAGAGAGTCCAGCGCAGGGCCACAAGGATGATCAGGGGCCTGGAACATCTGCCCTATGAGGAGAGGCTGAGGGAGCTGGGCCTGTTCAGCCTGGAGAAGAGAAGGCTGAGAGGGGACCTGATCAGTGTCTATAAGTACCTCAAGGGAGGCAGTGAGGAGGATGGTGCTGTCCTCTTTTCAGTGGTGGCCCCCGACAGAACTAGAGGTAATGGCCACAAACTGAAGCACCAAAAGTTCCACAGGAACTTAAGGAAACATTTTTTAACAGTGAGGGTGACAGAGCACTGGAACAGGCTGCCCAGAGAGGTTGTGGAGTCTCCTTCTCTGGAGATCTTCAACACCTGCTTGGACGCAGTCCTGTGCCACGTGCTCTAGGTGACCCTGCGTGTGCAGGGGGGTTGGACTAGATGACCTCTAGAGGTCCCTTCCAACCTTAAGCATTCTATGATTCTATGATTCTATGATTATGGCCAAATTTTAAAGAAGCCACAACACCAGCTCAGAAATAGTAGATGTCATTCCAATACTGGCATCTGAACATTTAAGCTTCCAGATGCCTTGTAAAGGGCACAAGCCACTTTCGAAGTTGGGAAAAAAAAAAATCTAGGTGTTTGCCTAGTCTACTCACACATCCAGTATAGTTCATTTTTGCTGCAGACCAGTGGCGGGACAGTGAGAATCCTGCTCTATTTTCCTGCTCTATTAGTGTACTGCTACCTTGTCATCTCACCTGCCTTCTACCCTGCAAGTACAGAGACCTTCAGATCCATCAGTAGGGTTGCTCAATGACTACTCCAATGACCACATAAAATAATTACTTAACCCATGAGGAGGCTAGTGTAGGAATCAGATTGCCTGGTGCTCAGCATCGAGAATGGTGAGATGCCCACACTGGGAAGCAAAGAGGGCATGAAGCCGGGGTGTCTGCAATGTGGCAAGAACTGCCGGTGCTGCTCTGCAGAGGGCAAGTGCAACGTGGACCCAGCGCAGGCAGGGCAGTC